CCAACCTCCGTGGAGGGTTCCAAGACTTTCATCAACGAGTTGCGCAGCTCTGCTACAGGCAGCCAATTCCGGTTGGAATGTGTCTGCACACCACCCGCAGTAGCCAGGACTCGAATCTCCTCTTTTCGCATTTCGTACAAAGCACGACTGAGCCACTCCTTGCCCTGTGAAACAGCTGTAAGGCGAAGTTCTTCCAATTTGGCAGCCGATGCCTCTTCCCCCTGCGGCATCCGACACACTGCCGCCACAAAACCACCATCATCCTACAACATCGCACCATGTGACAAACATTCAAATTCGGTCACAAAAACAACTCATGTCACAACACATTTTTTGGTTGAACCCAACCTCCGTGGAGGGTTCCAAGACTTTCATCAACGAGTTGCGCAGCTCTGCTACAGGCAGCCAATTCCCGTCAGACTTCGTCTTCGCACCACCCGCAGCAGCCAGAACTCGAAGCTGACGAGCTGACATTTCCGACAAAGAACGACTGAGCCACTCCTTGCCCTGTGAAACAGCCCCAAGGCGAAGTTCTTCCAATTTGGCAGCCGATGCCTCTTCCACCTGCGGCATCCGACACACTGCCACCACAAAACCGCCATCTTTCTACAACATCGCACCATGTGACAAACATTCAAACTCGGTCACAAAAACAACTCATGTCACAACACATTTTGTGGTTGAACCCAACCTCCGTGGAGGGTTCCAAGACTTTCATCAACGAGTTGCGCAGCTCTGCTACAGGCAGTCAAGCCTTGCCGGATCGTGTCTCCACACCACCCGCAGTAGCCAGGACTCGAAGCTCCTCTTTTCGCATTTCGTCCAAAGAACGACTGAGCCACTCCCTGCCCTGTGAAACAGCCCCAAGGCGAAGTTCTTCCAATTTGGCAGCCGATGCCTCTTCCACCTGCAGCATCCGACACACTGCCACCACAAAACCGCCATCATCCTACAACATGTGACAAACACGCAACTTTCGTCACAATCCTATTCTGCCCCACCGGACCTGCATGCGTGGTGCCAAGACATCCAGCAATTGAGCGCGCAGCTCTCCAACCGCAAGCCACTTGTTGTCCGGTCCACGGCCAACATTTCGAGCATGCGCCATTTTGCGAAGCTCCATGACTGAAATGTTTGCCAGGGCATCCTGGAGCCATTCACGACCCCTGGTCACAGCACTGCTACGCAGCTCCTGCAACCAAATTTCCACGCCATCGGACGACGAGGATGACGCGGTCGCATGCTCCATTCGCACAGACATCCCCTTCAGCAAATGAAACAGCGACCACAAAATTGTACGGTACAATGATTCCCGTAGTATTTTTTGTCCACTGCTCATGCATTTCAATGAAAACATTACATATATTTTTTTCGTGCTATACTTACATAGATCCACTGCATCATAAACAAACACTGACATTGTCACAATGCAATTCTCGAGATCTCACGGACAGCCCCCACAGAAACCTCGAGAAGTCCAAGAAATGTTCAAGATACCTGTTTGCCAATCGTCACTTGTTTCACGAACATTCAGCGTACATATAAGAATCTGGATGTTCACTCTGTACACAATGCATCTTGTCTCGACGTTCACATCTGAGCCAAGGAAAGAGGTAAAGAGGTAAACTATGCTTGTCGCTGCAGAGTTGCACAATCCACTGCAAAGGATTTGTTCGCTGACTTCCAAACTGAGACCACCACTCATGAGTTTGACATGGCAAAGAACCACTGTCGCAGAGACCTGCAAACTAAAGGCTGAACGCATCAACAAAAAAATAGTTTAACAAAGCTCAAAAACAAAAAACTCAGCAGCTCGGCAACACCATCTTGCATCATCTCGCAATGCCTTTGCAACCAAATTTCCACGGCAACGGACGACGCGAATGACGCGGTCGCATGCACCATTCGCACAGACATTCCCGTCAGCAAATGAAACAGAGACCACAAAACGTCCACAAACGTCACGGGTGCGTGACTTCAACCAAACATGTTGCATTCAGAAAATTCCGAGACATGCATATCTGTTCGCTTGAGTTCAAAACAATGCCATGACATGCTTGAGAACAAAACAAAATTGAACGGTACAAAATTGAACAGTACAATGATTTCCGTAGTATTTTTTTGTCCACTGCTCATGCATTTCAATGCAAAGATCACATATTTTTTTGTGCCATAAATCACATAGATCCACTGCATCGTCAACAAACACTGACATTGTCACAATGTAATTCTCGAGATCTCACAGACATTTTTACACACAGACGCTTTTACACACAGACGGTTTTACACACAGACGCTTCTACACGCAGACACTTTTACACGCAGATGTTTTACACACGCGAACACACACTTTTACACACAGACGCTTTTACACACAGAACGTTTTACACACAGACGCTTTTACACACAGAGGCTTTTACACACAAACGCTTTTACACACAGACGCTTTTACACACAGAGGCTTTTACACACAGAAGCTTTTACACACAGACACACAGACGCTTTTACACACAAACGCTTTTACACACAGACGCTTTCACACACAGAGGCTTTTACACACAGAAGCTTTTACATACAGACTCCTTTACACACAGACGCTTTTACACACAGACGCTTTTACACACAGAAGCTTTTACACACAGACTCCTTTACACACAGACGCTTTTACACACAGAAGCTTTTACACACAGACGCTTTTACACACAGACACTTTTACACACAGACGCTTTTACACACAGACGCTTTTACACACAGACGCTTTCTACACACAGGGGCTTTTACACACAGAAGCTTTTACACACAGACGCTTTTACACACAGACGCTTTTACACACAGACGCTTTTACACACAGACGCTTTTACACACAGACTCCTTTACACACAGAGTCCTTTACACACAGACGCTTTTACACACAGAAGCTTTTTACACACAACACTTTCACACACAGAGGCTTTTACACACAGAAGCTTTTACACACAGGCGCTTTTACACACAGACGCTTTTACACACAGACGCTTTTACACACAGACACTTTTACACACAACATTTTCACACACAGAGGCTTTTACACAGGCGCTTTTACACACAGACGCTTTTACACACAGACGCTTTTACACACAGACGCTTTTACACACAGACGCTTTTACACACAAACACTTTTACACACAGACACTTTTACACGCAGGCGCTTTTACACACAGACGCTTTTACACACAGACGCTTTTACACACAGACGCTTTTACACACAGAGCTTTTACACACAGCTTTTACACACACTTTTACACACAGACCCTTTTACGACTTTACACACATACCCTTTACTTTACACCCACACACAGACACTTTTACAAACAACACACCTTTCACACACAGAGGCTTTTACACAGACGCTTTTACACAAGACGCTTTTCCACACTACCTTTTACACACAGCTTTTTACACACCGACTCTTTTACACACAGACGCTTTTACACACAGACCCTTTTACACACAGCGCTTTTTAACACACCCGCTTTACACACCAGACTTTTACACACAGACACTTTTACACACAGACGCTTTTACACACAACACTTTTACACAGACGAAAGCGTTACGATTGACCAAGTAAAATCGCAATTTTTCCTCAGTTTTTGACGTCCAACGTCCATTTCGTCGTAGGGTTGCGATTGACAACTCAATTCGCAATTTTCCTCAGTTTTTACGTCCAACGTCCATTTCGTGCGTAAGGGTTGCGCGGGACACTTCAAAGTCGCAATTTTTCCTCAGTTTTTGACGTCCAACGTCCATTTCGTGCGTAAGGGTTGCGCGGGACGCTTCAAAGTCGCAATTTTTCCTCAGTTTTTGACGCCCAACGTCCATTTCGTGCGTAAGGGTTGCGCGGGACACTTCAAAGTCGCAATTTTACCTCAGTTTTTAACGTCCAACGTCCATTTCGTGCGAAAGGGTTGCGCGCGACCAATAAAAGTTGCAATTTTTCCTCAGTTTTTGACGTCCAACGTCCATTTCGTGCGAAAGGGTTGCGCGCGACCAATAAAAGTTGCAATGTTTCCTCAGTTTTTGGCGTCCAACGTCCATTTCGTGCGAAAGGGTTGCCGGCGACGCTTCAAAATCGCAATTTTACCTAGGTTTTGGACGTCCAACGTCCATTTCGTGCGAAAAGGTTGCGTTTCGTGGCGCTCCGGCGGCACCGCCCCCGCCTTAAGAGAGAATAGAAGAAGAGCGAGAGGAGATCTGCAGATGTGAAGGTCTGAAGATCTAGATCTGCAGATGTGAGGGTGTGAAGATCTAGATCTGCAGGTGTGAGGGTGTGAAGATCTAGATCTGCAGGTGTGAAGGTGTGAAGATGTAGATCTGCAGATGTGAGGGTGTGAAGATCTACATCTGCAGGTGTGAGGATGTGAAGATCTAGATCTGCAGGTGGGAGGGTGTGAAGATCTAGATCTGCAGATGTGAGGGTGTGAAGATCTAGATCTGCAGATGTGAGGGTGTGAAGATCTAGATCTGCAGATGTGAGGGTGTGAAGATCTAGATCTGCAGGTGTGAAGGTGTGAAGATCTAGATCTGCAGATGTGAAGGTGTGAAGATCTAGATCTGCAGGTGTGAAGGTGTGAAGATGTAGATCAGCAGATGTGAAGGTGTGAAGATGTAGATCGGCAGATGTGAGAGGTGAAGATCTAGATCTGCAGGTGTGAAGGTGTGAAGATCTAGATCTGCAGGTGTGATGTGAAGGTGTGAAGATCTAGATCTGCAGATGTGAAGGTGTGAAGATCTAGATCTGCAGGTGTGAAGGTGTGAAGATCTAGTATAACGGCTGCTTTTTTACGAAGAACCCTTCGCAGGCGCTCTCGGGAATAAAGTGACCCATGGCCAGAGGAGATAATAGTAGATAATAATATCCGTACTCAGTGATGTTTCAAGGCGGTCTGAGAATGGATGGCACCTGCCATCCCTGTGACAAGTGTCGTTGACTACTTGCTGTCCCGAGTGCTTGGAAACACTTATAAATGGGCCTGCAGGTTGCGAGAGTTGAGGATGAAATGCGCATCTGGATATGCATTGCAGATTTCCCGCAAGTACTGCATCTGGGGAAAATAGGCTTGAACCGCATCCTTCTGTTTGCTCGTCCAGTGGCACCCGTTCATTTCGGCAAGGGCATCCACCTCAGGGGCAAATAGAAGGATGATATCTGTCAAGTACCACTAGGAACCCAAACCAATTATAGAACAGCAAGGAAAGGATTTGTCCATAAATCGGATCTCCAAAGTCCAAAGTCCACCAAAATATGCAAACTCCCAAATCCACCAAAATGTCCAAGATTGCACTATCTGTTGTGGCCACATTCTCGACAAAAAAAAATGTAAAAAAAATAACCAACTGCAACTCCACCTCCCCCGGGAGCAAAGCAAAGGGTGGCAAGCCCCGCTGAACCGCTTTGGTGATCAAACGTCCCAACAGGCGCTCATCAGCCCCTTCCCCATAGAGCCGCAGCCGTGTGTCCTTCTTGACTTCCTGCCCAGCATCCAAAGCCCAGTGCACGGACCTGCCGGGGGTGGCCAAACAACAATGCGGCACCACTGGACCAACAAAATCCAGAAATGGCTGGTCAATTTTTGGAGATATTTTGACTATTACGCCATGTATTTTATGGGGTCAATCATTTTCAACCATACCAGAATGATCTTCAACGACCAAGCGGTTTGAAACCCATCCGCATTCTGGCAGTTCATATTTCCATATAAATTATAGTATATTTCCTCTCTGCACGGAATCTGTTGGAGAAAGTGCCCACACCTGAAGCCAGCTCTCTTGAAGGACTCGTGCAGGGATGTTGTGCCACATTTGGGCATTCCCAGGACCACAATTTTTGCTGGAGGTGTTGGAGCAGGTGATGGCGCGGGTGTTGGAGCCGAAGCCAACCACCGCGCAGCAGCGGAAGTCGGCTCAGCTATTTCCTGGGAGACCTGGGAGTGACTCTCATCGTATCCTCGCTGCTCACTGCCCCACCTCCTTGGCCGGCCCCGGGGACTTGGAATCCCTGGAACTGGCAAATCCATCCACCACGGCCTCACCGGTTCTGACGGAGGCTCCACGGCGGCCTCTGGCGGCGAGCTCTGCTGGTTAGAGCTGGGCCAACTCCACTGGGATCCCTCCCAGCCATCGGAGCGGTCCCAGCCGTCCCAGCCGTCCCAGCGATGTCCTCTCCAGCCGCTCCACACATCATCCTGCCAAACAACGAGAGAGGAGAGCTAAAGACTTCCTCAATAAGATCAAAGAAAGCATAGGAAATTCCTGGTTGATGCAGGTCGAACTTGAGACATAGAAACATTATGTGTTTATACAGTCATACATGTGTTCTTGCATTTTGCCCATCACCCTGCTTTGAATCTCCAACATCGGCCTCCCACTGTTTAGTGGACTGTTCAGCAGCGTTGTTTGCCATGACCGCTGCTCAAAGCTTTTCAAGATATCCCCTGGATTATGTAATGCGAAGTTTAGATATGTTGCATATGGCTGCAGGTTTCGAACGATTTTCAAAGAAGATTGAAAACAATCCAGAACCAACCCGGCAAGAGCCTTTTCTCACACACCCCTGGAACAGAAATCATGAAAATTTGAGAACATTGAACTGCAGCACACCTGAAACTGCATGTCAACAACGCCGGTTTCCAACGCACCTGGTTAAAGTATCTTTGGCCACTCTGCTTAACGTCATTATTGGGCAGCTCCCTGTCTTTATGTAGATCCTGCAGCACTAGCCGATGCCTAGCGGCCGAAGAGCTAGACTTGTTTATGACTAACTTTATGCTGCTCATCCTGGCTGAATCTGTGCTGCAGCTTGAGCACAAGGTTTGCAAGAAATGGCCATCCTCGTTTGGCCAAGCAACGCAGTTCGATAGGATTGGGTTCGTCCTACTTTAGCTTCTTTTCCATACATGCACATGAGCATGTATACGACATCATAGGTATATGAATGTATATATATATAGATAGAGAGAGATAGATAGATATCTGCCGTGCTATTATGTGTATGTTTAATACATGCCAAATAAATACATATATATATATATATACATATGTACATATTCATATCTATATATATATATTGTCCTATACATATGTATCTACATATATCTGTATGATTTGTATGTATATAATGTAAATATATATATATGTGTGTGTGAGATATATATATATATATATATTGTGTGTATGTAGGTATTCATTTATGGTATTTTATTGGGTTGTTGCTATGCATAATTATGTGTACATGGTGCAGTGCCAGTACCACAGTGACACGCTCGCAAAGCAGATCTCAGAGGCTGACCTCCAGGGGGTAGGCCTCATGGGGAGTCGGGTCGTATCGAAATAGCTGGCAGCTAGTTATACTAATAATATTGTTGCATGTCCATCTCCCTATTCATGATTTGAACATTTGAACCATGATTTGAAAAACATATATATACATATGTATATATATATGTTTTACCTTTTAGAGAAAGGTACAAAAACATAGCTGTTGAATGCTGTTGACCTTTGACCCCTATGTTTTTGAGCTCAACTGCTGCACAGCAACCGGCAACCTGCATCGTCCCACCAAGGTTTCGCACGTGCCGAAGCCCCACAGAGAGCGTCACAAGCAGCCCACTGCACCTCACAAAATTCTGTCTCACCGAAGATGGGTTGTTATATGGGGATGGGTCAAAACCCTGGTACCTAGTGAACCCCAAAATAGCTGGTAAATGGATGTTCATCCCACTAGACATGTATCTATAGGTATTGACCCATACCCATATGTTGTTATACATCACCCTGGAGGCGGAAGTAGAAAAACTGCGTTCCAATCCTTTGGTCATTTGCCCAAGTTCAAATGTTCCTCAGCTGAGCTGATTAGCTAGTAAGAAATGACCAATCATAGTTGAGCGGTCGGGGCTTTAAAAACCCTTGGCTCAAATTGAGTGTACAGTCTTCTAACTTCACGCTCCAGGAATCCTCTCTGAGCATGCCACCCACGAGTTCCCGAAAAGAAATCCTGGCGGAGCCACGCAAAACTCCGGGAGGTTGGAGTTTAGAAAGCATCCCACTTAAAACAAGACAATTCCATATTACATTATTATTAAATTATTATTAAATTATTGTTTGGCGGGGCCAGTATCCTCAACACATCCCACGTGATGCGCTGCTCACGTGCATCGGCTGGTTTCCCCATAGATTGTGGCAACAACTCCAACCACTGAAGCCCTTAGGGATCGGCCCTGAAAAAGCACCATTGGATGGTGCCAGCAAAGGTCCTTCTCATTGGCAGTTCGAAAGACCTTGCCAGGGCCAGAGTTGGCGCCAGATTGTTCGAAGTGTCCAACCACTTCTGAGGACATCAAAAGCTTCAGAAATCTGGTGCTTGCGCCTGTTGAAAATATGGGTAAGCTACCCCCGGGCCCCTGGTAATTTCACACATTACTGGAGGGTAGGAGTGGCCGAGTCGTCATCATCGCAGGCAAACATGGACCAAATATGTGAAACCAATCAGCAATGAGTGCATCATGAGTAGCACCTCGACAACCTCCCACGCAAGTAGCACCTTGATGCAACCGTGAAATCTGGAAAATGTAATCATTTCATGCAGCCCTGGAAGTGCTATGGCTGCTATGGATCAAAACTTTGACTCAAGAAACAATTGATTTCATGAATTTAGTGCTGACCATCCAACTACCCATCAAAGAAAAGGACATTGATTTTTTATTATTTTTTTCCATCCATTTTTTGCGCGGAAAACCATCCCATCTTTTCGCATCAACGGTTTTTTTCCCAGACATCCTTCAGAGATTTCAGCTGAGGCCTCTGCAATCGAAGAACTAATGCAACAGAAGGCTAAGTAGAGGCACATGGACCGCCAAGACCTCGAAGAAAACTGTTTAGCGCACTTGAAAACCACTGTGAACGGCTGGTTTTATAAAGTGATGTTGACATATATGTCAATAGCACGGAGCACGGTAGTAAAAATAGTATACAGTATACATTTTAAGTGGGAATTATAAACCAACGGCTGATTAAAATTACCCATTTGACTCATTTGACTATCACCAATGGGTAAGATTCATCCGGATTCATCTTATAAAATTTAAAAAAAACTGGTCTTGAACATTGAACGGCAGCTGATTTGTGGCATTCCCCAGATGGCAGAGCTCATCCCCAAGCTCCATTTCGACCTCAGCATCCAAGTGCCAAGCCATAATCGCTCCAAACGCTCTGCCTCGAAGTCACCGTTGGATGGGCCGTGCTCAAAAATATGAAAGTCTAGTTGGGATCATGGAATCATCCGAGAGGAATCATCATCCCTAATCATCCCTAATATGATTGAGGAAACCGAAGTAATTGAAATTAATTGAATAAACAAACAGAATAAACAAACAGAATGAAACAGAATGAAACTACCCAAAAAAAATCCAAAAAAAACTATAGGACTGATCTGCTGAGGCTCATGCCATGTAGACGATTGCAGGCACCACGAGGACTGCACCTGTGGTCGTCTCCAACTGTGGCAAATTTGAAAACAAACAAATTTAGAATCTCAAACAAATTTAGCATTCTAATTTTATCATTTTATCAAAGTTTATCAATCAAACCATCCGCATAATTTGCATAATCTACCAGAAACAATGTACACAATTTCACCATTTAGGAGACTTGTAAAGCATAGCCTTAAACTCCAACTGAGGGCGCAGCGCAGCAAACCTGCTTCGAACAAGTGGGCTGTCAGAAGGTTCCAAACTCGGTGCCATGGCCGATGCAACTCAAGGCTTGTCCAGACCTAAGGGATATACTTAAGGGACATAGAATCTATTTACAAATCTAGATCCAAATCCACCAGTTCAGATTCATTTTCCCATACATTCCTATTGTTTCTAAGAATAGACAAATCAAAATGTTGACTACCGGTGTAACACCCCGACAGCGACAGTTTCCGAGGAACGGAAGGGCAGTGGCAGCGATGCAACTGGACTAAAAATGGTGTGATGCGGCACCTCAAAAACTTCCGCAGGAATGTTTCTGCAAAAAACCATTCACCTTCACTGAAAAAACACTGCACTGCATAGCTTTGCAAAACGCTGCGTACCAGTGAAAATACATCATCGATGGTTGCAGGCAGTAAAAGCCGCAAGAAGGAAGTGCCAGCAACCTGCCAGTTGTTGATTGAGCAAGGCACTCCCTGCTACCATGCATTGTGAAACGTCATAGGAAACTCAACTCAACATTATTTTTTTTTCAAAAAGTTGAGGGACACACGATGCCACCCAACCTCAGTTTTGCATGCAAAATCGACTACGACTATATGCACCCCAGTGCATCGGTGTCATGAAATGTATCAAGACCTAAGCCGTTGGCAAACTTGACAGCGGAATTGGCAAAGCTACCGGGTTCGCCGTTGCATTGTTGCTGACTGTAGCATCAGGCCTGATCACACAATCATGCTTTGAAAAACAATATGTTACTCGCAGCGTTGCAAACTATTGAGGTTCCCACGTGGCACGGCTATCCATGCACCAATCAACCTGCAAGAACATGTTTTTGCAAACACCAAAAATGTTCTGTTGCATTTACCGATGTTGCGCACCCGCGTGCCTGACTTTAAATCAAAGTCTTCCCCAGCATTTTCTTCCATCATGGTCCGCAAAACAAGCAGCTGCGGAGCACCAAATTTTGGACCCCCAACTTCACCATTCACATGTTGTTTGAGACCAAAAAATCGTTGTACCAACATGGTCAGCATTGAAAAATGCCGAACTGTCTGTTTTTCACACCCCAATTCAGAAACAACCGTGACCTTTGCCATGTTCATAAACACATGTTTGTCAACAAACACTTGACCATTTGGAGAAGTTGTTTCGAAACGGAAGGTTGTTAGTTACATCACAGCAATCGGAGGCTACAACCTTGAAACCAATAGTCCAAGTGTTTGTGTTGCTTGTCAAATTTTGGCGCTGAAATTCTTGTCTGCTCGGAAACCTACGCGTTCCCCCAACCGGAAGCACAAACACGGAATACCGGCCCCCACGGTGCCAAAACAAAAGCATGCAACAACCATTGGCACTTCTTGCCTTTCCCGCCTTGCAAAATCCGCGACCGGCTCTCCTTTCTTGGGTGGGACAAAAATCAAGAAAATAATTCGAGCTGTGGGGAGCGGTCTGCAAACCTGCCACCCTTTAGCAACCACAATGGAAGGCCACCAATGGGCCATCCCTCTCAATAAATGCACCGGTAACTCAAACAGAAACCCACAGGCCCATAGGAAACCCACCCAGCAGAGACCGACAGGACCCAGGAAGAACAGCCGGAAGGAGAAGCGCCAGCAAGTGACATGGAAACCAGGAAGAATGAATGTGTTTACGGACCACCCTAGCTCATCCCCTTAACTTCAAGGGTGGGGTAGTGGCCTGCCTGTCC